GCTTCCAGGCTTTTTATACTGTAGCCTGAAACTTCGTTATGTCTTCTATGCACATGAACCAGATTGACATCGTAATGCTTAACATGCTTAAGAATACTGCGAGGAACATGATAACGACAAAATGACCAGCCACCCAAATTTTTCGCTGTACATGTTTATAAAATGTTTATGTACCCCAAATGAGGTGCTTATGATACAAGCCGAAAAAACCTACAAGTAGGGCCTTGGAGTCTTCTGGAAGTAGACGTGTTGCATTTTTTCTGTAGAGGGTTTTACACCTATAAGTGAGGAACAAAACTCCTGTATAATGAAGAATGTTGGCAGCTATCAGTTATAGAAAAACCTAATGCAGCTAATCTTCCCCGACACATCTGTACATTTAGAGAGGTGACGTAGCTTCTGTGATTGTGGCAGTAACTCCAACATGACCAGTGCGAAAATTGGCACTACTTGGCTAGACAAATGTCCAAACATGCCTGCCTGACTCCCTCTACCCATCCCGGCTGAATCTGACACATGATTTCTTAACTGCTGGCTGGACAAAAACAAAACCACTGAAGCACTCGCATTACACAGCGTGAAGTTCCTTTGGAGTGGTCAACTTCGTCTTCTGCGATGAAAGAGCAGCACAGTGTACTGATAAGGCACTCCTTGCAATGGTTTTCAATGCCACGGAGTGACCTTGCTGTTCCTGTCGAAGAGAGCTTCGGAAGCTTGGAGGGTGCTTGCTCTTTTCGGGGGGCTGCTGCCGCTCCTCGTTTTCTGCTCAAGGTCAACCTGCACAAAGTTGTAGACGATGCTCTAGGAGCTGTATATAATGATATACAATTTCGCTGAACACACATTTCCTCGTGGCACACTGAGGAATTTCTTAAAAACTTAAGGCCTCGCATGTGGAAACATTTATCATCGATCCGAAGATGCACTCGACTCTAAAGGAGCAAGTTTGTTATGTAGTGTATATAAAGAAAGGTCATTCAGCACAACCAAAACTACAGTTGCACACGAAAATGACATTTTACACGATTCTGTTTATTTACATGGTCCATTTTATTTTATTTACACGGTCCATTTTACACGGTCCTGTTTTACACGATCTGGTCTGCATGAACTCTTGAACCGGGCACCATATAGGTTGAAAGACACACACAGAGTTTGAGACAAAGCTAGTTTCCCGTGGAGCATCCTCTTGCACTATAACAACACATCTCAATGTAGTTAGTTGGTCAGAACGAGGTGAAAACAGCTCTCACTTGGAAAGCACGGGCAGAAGGAATGACGCCTTCACCCTGTGCTTCTTGTACATTCTCGTTGAGGGTGCAGTTTTCACCTTATCCTCATGCAATTTTGCATTTATAACATTGTTCGCTGCATAATCTTTGTGGCATTAAAGTGTGTGATACCGTCAGGTGTATCCCATGTAATTTTTAAAAAAAGAATACAAGATAGCTTGATTCAAAAATAACAAAGTGCATCCAGCGCCATGTCCTGTAGCCATTCTTTAGGCAAGTGGCAGAATGATTTATTCTTCAAAACATATCTTACCTGTAACCACTACAAGAGCTAACTCGTACACTCGCACATTCTGTTTGCCTCTTCAGATTATAAGGTATCTTTTTTACACCAGAAAATCTTCAAGAAGAATAGAAGTGTTGTAATTGGGAAGAAAGAAAAGTAGAAGAAAAAAAAACACCTGCCCTGTACAGGGACTGAGCCTGCGAACCTCGAATAACATGTCCGATGCTCTATCAACTGAGCTACCATGGCGGCTATCCCTCTTCCATTTTGTACGCTATATATGTGCATTTATACATAGAAGAGTCAGTCAGCGCTGCATGTTACCATTATGGCGAGTGTGGGACACCTTTTTTTTGCCTACTCGCAATTACATTACGATTGCAATTACGTTACGATTACTTTCAATATCCCTATACTTCTTTGGCAGCATTATGCATCTGTCAGTTCTCAAAAAATCTGCTAGTCACAGGAGGTGGCAATGGTTCACCCTCCCACCTAAATGAATGTACTTGAACACATGCACAACCGATCAAAAAAAAACAACTCACACACCGCTAAGTTTACTCAGATTCACTGTTTCAGATTCATGAGTAAAGGAAAGAACTATAAATTTAAGGGTTTGTTGTCTTTGTTGAACACATTATAATGAGAACTAGCAGAAAATGATGCCAAACAAACTATAGGGGTTGTTATAAAAAGTAACTTTAACAAAATTGTGAAAAAAAGTGAACAAAAACGTAACTTGGCAACGTTTTTCGACAATTGAATTGACAATACTTTTCATAACATCCCTATATTTTACTGGGTAATGATGTCGAGTAATTCTCATTATTAGAGTGGTGAGTAGGCTGACAAAGAAAGTATATGGCATTGATACTTCTTTTGAACACCTAATAGTCTTAGGACCTTAAAATAGCGGAAGCTACTTTGAGTAGACCGGAATATTTAGCTGGAGCAAAAAAAACGTACACACATTTTTACCAGGCTTTTTAACACATTTTGAGACATAAAAGTGTATGTTGCCAGTAATGTTAACTACCATTACTTTTGTCCCACTATGCACGGTAGCAGGTGTAGTTAGAGTGGTGATAGTGAAAGATTAATCAAGCACGCCACCAACTGCGTTCACATCAATGGTCGCGTATTTTAAAAAGAAACCTACTGTATAGTAAAAAAAAATTTAGAAAATTTATGATTTTATACAAATCAAGTTAAACCGACTGGGTAAGCAAACCGTTTGCATAAAATCAAAAGGCATAAAGTGATTCATGTATTATAACTAAGTGAACAATTTCAGCAACGCAGGGCAAAGTGACAACAGTTCTAATAAAAACTCCTCTCATTATAACACGCATGAAAAGCACCACACCAGAATATTTATAGTGCATGTAATATCGAGACTACTAGACTGTCTATTGACCTTTTAGAATAAGGGTATCTCCTTCACGTTCAAGGGGCAACCACTTAGCCTTTTCCTGAGCTTTTCTGTGAATAATTCCTGAATTTCAGATATCATTAGGATTGATTTAGAGTGAACAGATTTCGCTTGCGCATTGAAACCTAGTTCTGTATGTAACTGCAAATATGGGTGCCAAACCACCTCCAATTAATGTTTAACATTTACCTTATTTTTTAACTGCAGCAGCACAATGAGCTATGGGTGCCCGAAAAGTAGCTAGAAACAATACCTTTACCTCTTTGAGCCTTTTGGAAGTGTTCAGCTTCTCAGTGCTCACTTACAACGTTTTTTTTAAATACGTGTTTGTGTGCCCACTGCTCTTGCTCCTTGTACAGTGAGGAGGAGCACATGGCAAGAAGAGACAAGAAAGAAGCATAGCGAAAAAAAGCGAAATAAGCGAGGACCTCTTTTGTATCGTACAATGTGTGTAACATTACTTTTGCGACAACATATAGACAAATTCTCACGGCTATGCATCCATTGTAGAGTCATACACAGCTGCAACAACATGACTAAATTTTAACCTTGTGTTGGTTTAGGATCTCTTTATAGTGGCAAGCTAATGATATCTGCATTTGTTTGGCACATATTAAGATGCAGTGAAATGTGATATGGTAACCTCATTTAGAATGCACGTCATGTGGCTTCATTGTATATGTGGCCACAAGTAACTCTGGTTGCAAAGCAATATGGCAGAGCCTAAACAGACGCCACCGACCACTCCAATCTGAACTTGCCTTTGCTACTTGCCCATTATCATCCCAGCGAAAAATGAATAATTGAATCTGCTACAGATATGTGCTAGCTTATGCTAAGGACCAAGTATGAAGGGTGTTTTGTCATTATTGAGATCAGTTATTTGTTCAAGAACACTTGCTGTCAAACACAAATACATTGCTGTCGAAGCATCAAGACTCAAATATAAAGCAATAAGAAGTGTGCAACATAATAGCCACCGCAACACGTGCTGATATGTGATGTGTGATATGTGATATGCATCGTGTTACGTCAGCACCAGGTTGCTATAAAAGATTAGTGCGTAGGAAATAAAGGCTAGTGTTTTTCCACGGTATCAAGTGTGCTGTTCTTCCGTCAGCTGCTCTCCGCGAGTTGGCTATGACAGTGGCGACGAGGGTGGGACTGTGATCTGCTGGTGCCGCCTGGAACTTCCCTGTAAGGCTCTGTTCTCTACCGTGTGTAGAATGCCTGGTGTTGGCAATCTTGAGCCGTTCGACGTGAGAACAACCAGCTGGGATGAGTATCAAGAGCGGGTAGAACAATTTTTCATAGCCAACGACGTCGAAGATGAAAAAAAGCGAGCAGTACTTCTCACCTGTTTGGGACCGGCCACGTATTCATTACTGCGGAACCTGCTGTCACCGTCGAAGCCGTCAGAAACAAGCCTGTCCACGATCCTTGACGTACTGAAGAAGCATTTTTCGCCGAGACCTTCGGAAGTGGTTGCAACGTTCAAGTTTAATTCAAGAATACGTCATTCTGGTGAAACGGCTGGGGATTTCTTCGCTAGCCTGAACAAACTTGCTGACGATTGTGCTTTCGGCTCGTTTCGAGACAGAATGCTTCGTGACCACATCGTGGCAGGCATCAACGACGAGACAATGCAGCGACGACTGTTGGAGTTACCAGATTTGACCCTGGATACCGCAAAGAAACAGTTATTGCGATGGAAGCGGCGAACAAAGATTCTCGCGCGCTGTGAACAGCCATGGCAATGACTGTTGCGCCGACGAATGCCGTGTCACGTGATACAGCAAAGCAGAAGCATAAACCAGTTTCATGTTTCCGCTGCGGAGGCGAGCATCTGGCGACGCAGTGTCGACATGCAAGTAGCGTCTGTCAGAAGTGTCGAAGCAAGGGGCACCTGGCGCGAGTATGCGAGGGTAAGGCCGTTACAGTTACGAGCGCAGGTGGTTCAGCGTTTTTTTCCCGGAAGCCTCAGTCAATCCATACCGTAGACGACGAAGAAAGCCGTTCTGAGACACCGGCACCGCAAGTCTACGAAATGTGGCAAGTGCGCGCACCGGATCACGACGGTAGCCCGTACCGGGTGGAGGTGTCCGTGAATGGAACTTCACTCATTATGGAAATTGACACGGGAGCAAGTGTGTCTGTCGTGTCGGAAGAGACCTTTCGCCGCATATTTCCGTCTTGTCGTTTGGAACCGTCAAGCGTCATGCTGAAAGGTTACACCGGTGAGCTGTCCGTGGTGCAAGGCAGCCTGCCTGTGACTGTACGACTGGGAAACCATGATTGCCGGGACGCGTTGTACGTCGTCCCAGGACGCTGCCCGTCCCTTATGGGGCGTGGCTGGAAAAAAGCCTTCGGAATCGAGCTGCGCAGTGTGATGGACGTTAAGGCTATCACGTCGGTTGAGGGATTCGTCGCTGAGTATGCGAGTGTTTTCGACGACGCCTTGGGAACATTCAAGGGAGTGTCCGCGAAAATAACCATCGAAGACAACACAAAGCCGTGGTTCTTCAAGGCTCGCCCTGTTCCGTTCGCAATGATCGACAGCGTAAACGAGGAACTGATGCGCATGGAACAAGTTGGAGTGCTGCGTTCAGTTACGACTTCGGAATGGGCTGCGCCTATCGTGCCTATCTTGAAGCGGAGTGGCCAGATTCGGATATGTGGCGACTTCAAGGTCACTGTTAATCCCGTGACAGTGCCTGAAAAATACCCTATACCATGCGTTGAAGACCTGTTTTGCCATCTTAGCGGTGGCGAGAAGTTCAGCAAATTGAACTTGAAAGATGCGTATTTGCAAGTTGAACTGGACGAGGCATCCCGCAAGCTGGTGACAATCAACACACCAAAAGGACTGTACGAATACACGCGTTTGCCTTTTGGCGTCACGTCTGCTCCTTAAATCTTCCAACGGGAGATGGAAAACCTGCTACAAGGGCTCAGACACGTTGTGGTGTACTTCGACGATGTTCTTGTGACTTGACGCGACGACAAGGATCATCTAACAAACCTGGGCCTAGTTCTAAGCCGACTGAAGCAAGCTGGGCTAAAATTGAAGCTTGACAAGTGTACCTTCCTGGAACGACAAGTTGAATACCTGGGTCACGTTGTCACGGCTGCGGGGTTTCAACCCAACCCTGAAAAGGTAGAGGCTGTGCTGAAGGCGCCTAGACCCGAAGATGTCAAGACATTACGGAGTTATCTAGGTCTAGTCAACTTCTACCGCAAGTTTCTGCCGGGGCTGTCTAGTGTGTTGCATCCCTTGAACGAGCTGCTTGTGGCCAAGGTGTCGTGGGAGTGGCGTGAGGATCATGAACGTGCTTTTCAAAGGAGCAAGGAGCTACTTGTTTCAGCAGCAGTGCTGGCGCATTATGACCCCAAGAAACCCGTGGTGCTCGTATGCGATGCGTCACCGTACGGCGTTGGCGCCGTTCTGGCCCATAGAGAAGACTCGGGGGCTGAACGACCAATCGCATTTGCATCACGAAGTCCCGCGCCAGCCGAGCGAAATTACAGTCACATCGACAAGGAGGCTCTTGCGCTCATGTTTGGCGTAACCAAGTTCCGACGATACCTCTGGGGACGCGAGTTCGAGGCTATTACGGACCATAAACCATTACTGGGCTTGCTTTCTCCCGACAAGCGCGTGCCTGAGATGTGTTCACCGCGTATCATGCGTTGGGCTCTGATGCTTGGTGCGTATAACTACAAGCTCATATACCGGCCGGGAGCAAGCATTGCCAACGCGGATGGTTTGAGTCGCCTACCACTACCAGGGTACGCTCAACCTGTGGAAAGGCCAGCGGAAGTTTTCATGCTGGAGGCTGCTTATCCTCGGGTGCTACGGTCAACTGTAGTCGCGGAAGCTACTTCCAAGGACCCAATCTTAGCGAAGCTACGAGAGGCCTTATGGTCTGGAGCTGAGCTACGTGACCCCGAGTTCAGGTTCTACGCAGATCGAAAACTTCAGATGAGCGTGCAAGAAGACTGTATACTTCTCGGATCGCGAGTGGTCATCCCAAGTGCATTACAGCAAGAAGTGCTGCGACTCCTTCATGAGGGGCACCCTGGAATGACCAAGATGAAGGCTATCGCCATGAGTCACGTCTGGTGGTCTTCGTTGGACGAGGACATTAGTGCTGCAGTTCGCCAGTGTCAGATCTGCCAAGAACACCAGAGGGTTGCGCGGCCGGTAGCGATGACGCCATGGCCGTTTCCGGACAGACCATGGTCTCGCCTTCATATTGACTTTGCTGGACCTTTGAAGAACCGCTACTTGCTGATCGTTATCAATGCATTTTCAAAGTGGATAGAGGCCGTTCCTATATCTACACCATCGGCAGAGGCAACTATCTCATGCCTGAGGGTTCTGTTTGCTACTCACGGATTGCCAGACGTAGTGGTGTCCGACAACGGACCAGCGTTCGTGAGCGAGGAATTCAAACTGTTCCTGCATCGAAATGGCATCAAACAAGTATTGACACCCCCATACCATCCAGCGTCAAACCGGGCTGCAGAACGGGCAGTTCAGTGCATCAAGTCACAGCTAAGGAAATCGGATGGAGGAAATTTTTCATGCCAACTTGCCCGTATTCTTTTCAATTACAGGATTACTCCCCACGAAACTACCGGGTGCTCACCAGCGGAGCTGATCATGGGCCGTAAGTTAAAAACTGCTCTAACGTTGTTGCATCCAGACATGAAAGCTAGGGTCTTGCTGAAGCAGCTCAAGCAGAAGATTGTCCATGATGGTGGAGCTCGAACCACACCACCCGCAAGACCCGGAGACTACATCTACGCACGGAATTTCCGTTCGGGGCCAACCTGGATGCCCGCAAGAGTGACTGACAGAGCCACCGATAACATCGCTGATGTCGTTTTGTCAGACGGTAGGTGTTGGCGGCGCCATCAAGAACACCTGCGGCCGAACTTCGCTCCAGTTAGTGCGCCTCCTGGACTGCCGCCTGAGCGACCGACTTCTTCACCGACGCCAGTGTTACCGCCTGTGCAACAACCTACGTCAACCACGGAGTGCGTGTCGGAACGAGCGGGTGTGCAACCGGCTGAGAAACTAGTTCCGCTACCCAGGAAGTGTGAGTCGGAGCAATCGAGTCCAGTTGCTGAGCCGTGTCCTGAATCAAGCAGCGAAAGTGGGACCGCAACACGCGATCTGGTTGTGCCTACTAGCCATGACAGTACGCCAATGCTGCGAAGAAGCCCGAGGACAAAAAAAACAGTTGTGCGTTTTTGACCACGAAGGCCGCTAAACTATCGTTGTTTTGTTTGTTGGTGGGGAGGAGTGTAACATAATAGCCACCGCAACACGTGCTGATATGTGATGTGTGATATGTGATATGCATCGTGTTACGTCAGCACCAGGTTGCTATAAAAGATGAGTGCGTAGGAAATAAAGGCAAGCGTTTTTCCACGGTATCAAGTGTGCTGTTCTTCCGTCAGCTGCTCTCCGCGAGTTGGCTATGACAAAGTGTCTCTTTAAAAATTAGAGGCCACAAGGTGCAAGATAAATATTTGATATACTTGGGATGTAAGGCATGCACAAGAGGTGCTGCCATATTATACTTTTCCTTGTGTTGAAATCTGCTTGCTTTACTCACCCAACCCATCTGTGAAGATGCCGTGAAAACACCAAGGAACTGATGCAGCAAGGTTGAACACATGTCCAGGGATTCCACCATTCCTAAGCAGCTCTACAGCTTCCACAGTCCTGCAACCATTTGTAAGATAAATATAGTTCTATCCAAAGTTCTTGGTTTACAGGCACACATGCAAGACGCATAACCACTCTATGGAAAGTTTGCATGATAATGTGCTGGGTAGCAAAACGGATGCCAATATCAAGTATCCCGGCCTGCCGCTTCTTGCTTTCCGTTTTTATTTAATCAATCCATGGTTATTAAATGTTCCCCCAATGTGAAGTGTACTGGCAGTTCGGTGAAGAATTGCAATGTATTTAAAACAGTCCAACTCATGGCAAGTAAGCAATAGCGTTTTGTCAGCTGTTCGAGAAAAGAGCATGAAGTTTAGCTAAAACCCATGTTTTTTATAAACACCATTCAATTTGATATAAAAGTTGTGAGCATTATGTGAAGGAACACGGATTCATGCTTAATTATTGATTTCTTATATTGTACTGATATGAATGCAACTAACTGAATATGAAACGATAATTTTTGCTTGAGAATTTAGACTTATGAACAATATCGCACTTGCCAGCTGCATCTTGTTCAAAACAGCGGCAGAGATAGGCTAGTTTCTGTAGGTGAGCAGTAATGAGCAGTGCAAAGTAACAACAAGAAACACCAGTAACAACAGTATGGGGCAAGCACAGACTGCCAACTGTATAACTTATTGCACAAAAGTTTGTCTGAATATCAGTCAGACAACTCGTGCAAATGAAGGTCCAGTTGGGAATGAACAAGTTACGAAATCAACAATGCCTGCTTTCACTAACAGGACCCTCATTCACATGAAGTATGCAGCGATAGACCCCTACCGAGGTACGTCACAGCATGATGTCACTGGCGCATGTAAAAGGTGTGGCTGGAAAAACACTCCCGCTGGTGGCTCAGCCCGGAACAGTCGTGCGGTGTTTGGGGCAAGTTTTAATTTTCCAAAGCTTACACTTCACGTTAAAATGTCGACATTAGCTGTAGTATGTGTCAGCAAACATCTAGCTGTGTGGTAAAATATTTGCCACGCTGTCTGTTTATCTTGAAGAAGTGAACACACGTGGTGGCCTGTGCGAGGAACAGCGGCATAGTCTTCAAAAATGTGCACTGTTGGTTGCGGCATGTAGTGTGCATTGAAAGGTATTGAGAATATCGGTTCAACTGAGAATATTGTGTGTGGTGTGTGCAGTGTCAATAACAATGTGTCTTGTTTGCGAAGACGTTAGCACTCGTGGCAGGGCGTGGACTGGACGTTTTAGTGAAGGTAAATATGCACTTGACGCGACCATCTGCGAGTGGGTACAGCTCAGTGTTTGCGCTGTGGGCAGAACAAAATTGCATGGTCACCGGGCTAGATGATACCATTTGCTGAAGCTGCATGTATGAATCGCCTCGATGAGTACGCAATCCCAATAAAGGTATAACTCGTTTTATCGAAGGCCTCAAGTATCTTCATGTAATAAGCAGAGATTCCTGTTTCACATATACTCAGTACCTTTACCGCTCGATATTCATGAAGTGACAATGCAAACAAGTTTGTGTGTTAGGTCCTAAGGGAGCAATGTAAATATGCAAATACGTTGTAGGTGTCAGATGCAGCGATGTAACTGCACAAAAGATTACGTATATATTAAGCTACAGGTTTAGAATCGCATACATCTCAGTGGTCTTTCAGGAACGTCACAAACAACTTTCTTGCCACCCGCCCTTGCACAGAGGTAGGGAATGGCTGGCACGGTGCTCGAAGTGACGTCACACTATTTGCAAACATAGAGAGGTTTCTTACTTAGGCAACATTTTTCACAATACATTTTTAGATGCAAGACTGTACTCGTTCCACATTGGTCATACTTATGTCTTTTGTTCTTACTTTGGGCTGTGAATTACTAGGCTTTTAGTCATCACTATCTTCAAAAGCTAATTTCAGTGATCTCTCTCATATTACTGACAACTGTGTCGTTGCATAAATTGGGCAAAAAAGCAACACAGAAAGGCTGTCGCAATAAATACACCAACATGGGTATTCTCCTGCAAACAAAAGTCGGCACTGGTCCTGTCATTACCCGCCTTCCTTCTCTCTTTGCCTTGTTTGTGCTGAAACAGCCAAACACCTGATGAGTTAGATGATAAATATTAACGCATCAAAACTATAAGTGCTTGCATCAGCAACTACACAACAGCGTGATAACCGCACCCCTGCCACACAGCAAAACATATTTTGGTGGCGAAACAAATTTTGAACATGCTGGCAGTGTATTATTTTTTAAAAAGCAACTCTGGCAGATTACAAAATCTCACATTGTGCATGCAAGTTTTCTTTAAAGTCAGGCGTTCAATATAGGGGCTGGCCGGTACATTATTAGTTACAAGCAAAGGCGTCTTGCAGGTACACATGCAGATTGCACGAACACCTCTCTCTCTCTACACTAGGCACACACATTATATCTTTCAACAAGCACACACCACTGTTTAGAGCATAATAACGCTCTACCGTGAACGTATGCTAATCAACCCACTTAGGCGGTTGGCTTGGTGACTCGAGCCAAGCTACAAATTGTATCGCCCGCGAACGTACACAAAATGCTGCTTCGCATCAAATGGCACTGCAGGCTTCGTTTAATCAACAACGTAGCAAGCGCCGTGTGCGTCTTCCTCGCTACATTGCACATAAGAAAAAATCGATCACCATACACATGCATGTTGCCGCAGTTGTCTCGAATTAGCTCCAGTAAGGCCGCGCCGATGCGCCTTGGCTCTGCTGGCGTTAGCGTTGTCAATGCGAATCGGCAACCGCACTCGCAAAGGCGCGTAAGGTCGCCGTTTCACGACGCCTCGTACGAGTGCAGCAACACACACTTGCACTGAGTGGCATACTTGGTCTACATAAAAAAGTGTCCCCCTTACCTTTAGTTTCTTTCACACTGTCCTGGGGAAGCGACCACAGGCGTCAGCCGTCACCTCGGAGTCCTTCGAGCGCCCGCCCAACCCGCCGATTCCTTAGACGACTCGCACTTGATCCGCACTCGAACAACCGCGGGAATAGGGCGCAATCTTAGCACATCACACGAACGAGGAACGGCGCTTCCTTGCATAAATTTAACACTTCGTGCTCTGGTGTGTAGCAGCGCAAACACAAGAGAGACGCACCGAAACGGCATGCCCAAGGAAACAAAGAAGACAAACAACATGTGGCTTTAGCTGTGAATAGATTTGACTTGGATATCTGTGTGAGGAAAATAAAAAAAAATCTGTCACTGCTATAAACTGGAAAAATTGTATGTTATCTGGCAAAATAACTTTAAAAGTGATAAATGGTTATTCAAAAAACAAGTTACAACTTATGAATATTTTCGCAGGTCTTAGTTTTGTTTTTGTTTTAGCAGACGACAGCCTCCTACTGCTTCTACGACAGACGTAGTGCGGTTTCACGTTCGGTGCCTGTCGCCGACGCAAAGCTATACAGTAGTGATATCAGAGTTATCAATTCTCAATGAATCATAGGATGGCTACAAAGCAGTAACATTTTGACATAGTGCAGTATGCAATCTTTCAAGGTATGACATTTCTTTGCTCTGAAGCAAATCGAAGCAAGCCGGCCGGCGCAATCAGCTGATGTCGCCACTACGCGAGGCATGGTCGTGCGCAATAGCGTCGCGCCCCGCGCTCGATTTGTCATCAAGCGATAGAGCTACTAAGTGGAATACAGCTAGATGCAGGGATTAATGGCGTATCATTCTAATTCCCTGTGGTGGCCGACTCAATCGCAAGAGAGCCCCGAAAAACAACCTTCAACTGCTCAAGCTTGTGTGTGGGTGTAAAAATACTTGTTTTCATCCGCGACGGGGCAGCAATCTATAGTTGAAAGACATGCGAAAAGCATGTGACGTATATACAATCACAAAACATATGCACACAACAATAGATACGATCGCATATCGTACATAAATATGCCAACACATAGCGTGTAAAAA